AACTTTTGAGACTCGACCTCTGTTTGCTGTATTACAGTGTATATTGCCATTCTTTCTGTAGCTTTTCACTATATTTTGAACTGTAGACTTAGAAAGCATAAGACTTTTCGATATTTCACCATAGCTGTTGCCCAAATTTAATTTTTTTAGAATTTTAGCTCGAACTTCCTCACAAACTGGCTTGCCACGTGCCATCGTGCTCATAAATCAGGGAATAAAACTAAAACTACAACTAAATGTCATATGTTTTTACTTTTCCTTCATCACAATATTCTATTTACCGTTACTTGTCCAGTTTTTGTTTACATTTTACATTTTTCACCGTTTTTTTAAGAAAAATAATGTTGCCGTACCAATTAATAATGGTCAAAATATTTCGTGTAGTATGAAAGTTGTTTTATTTAAATTGAGTTTTTTCATTTTGTTGATATGAAACTTGTGCATGTTTTGATAAGAAATTAAAGGTAATTCAATGACCTTTTTAAAAAGTATAAATATGTTTGGGCAATCATCGCCTACAAATAAATATGAGTCATTGAAAGTTGCACTGTCGAAAAAAACCGTGCCGTACCAATTAATAGTGGTTAGGGCTCGTATATATTTATGTATATATATTTTTTATATATACATAAGCATTTAAATAAAGAGCGATACAAAACTTTGTACCAGAAGCTGTCCAGCTGTGCGACAATGAAGTTCTTTCACACGCCCGCCATTTTGTTGTCGCTGTTGTCCTGTCCCCAACCCATGTTTTTGTTGTTATTGCTATTGTATTTGTTCCGGTGCAGATTTGTGGCACGGTCAAAACGTGTTCAATAATTTTGTCAATAAAATGCCAGGCACAAGAGCCAAAGCACAAAAAACATCACGCCTAGTTGTATGCAACAAAAATGTGTCGTGAGCTCTCGCTTTGTGTGTTGGTGTGTGTATAGTACACCTGGAAAAATGGCATACAGTCCAGAGCTGCCAGTGCGTATTCATCTGACAAATAAAATGCTAAATCTTTCTATGAATACAGATATGAAGAGAATAATTGAAAAGGGTTCCAAATATTTTTTAAATATTTATCTTTTTTTATTTAAAACTGTTCATAGTTTCTTTAGTTGAGTTTATATACGAAAACTATTTGTATTGTCGTATGTACTGTTGTTGAAATATTATCACAATAATGCTTCCTAAAGCAGAAAGAAAGCAAAACAAAATGTTTTAGTTATTCGTTTTTAAATACATGTTTCTTTGTTGCTGCTTCCCTTATTCGGACAAACACGCAAAGACACAAATGGACATACATATGTAGATGTACATTTATGCAACTAAAACAGTATATACACATGTACAAGGTATTTAAGAGTAGTGTCCCCTCAACTTCAGCATACCATTGTTGTTTAAGATGGATTATTCCTATGCAAATTATGAAATTCAATATATTTTTAAAATATATTAAAATAGTTGTTTTCATGCTGTTTAAATATTTAATAATTATTGGGTTATTATTGGCTTTAGAATTTGCCAAGCGTCCATGGTCGACACTGTCTTATCCGATATATACACTAGTATGTTTTAGAACAATAACTTTAGTCTGGGCCACTTTGCTGATGCGCTGTGAAAAATGCATATGTATTATAAATGTCTGTTAAATCTGTTTGAAATCTATTCGCTTACCTCATGCAAACGATTTGAAGATGATATTCACTTCTTTTAACAGCGTCGATTAGATGTAAGGATAGAAATTTATATAAAACATTATAATTGCAAGAATTGTAAGGGCTTAGGACAACATGTGTTGATCCTTTTTTAATGATTAGCAGTTAGTATTAAAGAAATTAAAAATAAAGAAAACATTTTACTCGCTTACTCTGAATATACCGGTTAACTCCTTCTCATTGGCTCTTGGGTGTCACATATGAAAACCTAATCTCAAAATTGTTGATATAAAACCCAATAAGACCAGAGGTATATAAATTAAAATATGTTGGAAACAAGTAGACAGTAATTGATTTCCAATTAAAAGTTTTTAGCAAAAGTTCGATTCGTTGCAGCGAGGAGTGCTCGCCTAAACGTTATATTCAATAATGGATACATGTACTCTACATACCTGCACACAAATAATATTTAATTTATAAATAATAAAAAACTTGTATAAAGTTAGCTCGGTATTAAGTTAGGCTTAATGCATTAAGCTTTATGCTGTTTACTTTTTATATTTTTCCATTTTCTTCAATTAAGTAGAAGAAGCTTAGCTGCCTTTACTCTAAACATTAATTATTTTTATCTCCCTTGTAAATACATTATGCTTCAACAAAGTGAATAAATTTAAAATTAATAAACAAAAGAGTGTTCAAGCTTATTTATTATGGATTTTGCACTTTCGATTTGTGGAGCTAATATTTTTTGCAGTTTGAGCGACGAGTCTAACTATTTTTTCTATCAGTGTGTGTGGTGGGATGTTTTGTTATATGACCTGCAAAAAGCGCCATTGCGGTTCACTCTATAGAGCCCATAAGTTTGTTAGGGTTCGCTTTTTTGTTAACGGTTTCTCGTCGCTGTCGCTCTTCCACTGCGCCGCACATTAAACTTATTGTGTTTATGGCATAAATTTGCATGTTTTTCACGTAAATTTTTCAATTTGAATGCGCGCGCTTTTCCCCTCCCCCTCCCCTGTCACGATCGCAAGCTCACGCGACACTAGCCGGAACGACACGCAACACAGTGCCCGTTGTTAGGATACATTTTCTATGTTTTTTTCTTTAGTTACATCTCTTTTTGCTTTTTATTTATATTTATAGCTTGTCCAACATTTAAACATTGAGACGACAACAAAACGGTCGCCGGCTAACTTTATGCACAAATTTGTAGTAATTTTTGAAGCTATATGTGTATATCGTTTTTACAACGTGCCTGGTGCTTTAGTTTTATTGCAATTTGTGGGTTTATGCAGGTAGTAGTGTGTGTTTGTGGGTGTGTGTGTGTTTAAGTGCCAACGACATGTGTTTAGCATGCCTCATTTAAGCCTAAATACACCTGCAACCATCAATTATGCAGAGAGAAGGGTGCCAGCTGCGAGAGGTGTAGGCCAAAGGAGCCTGGTGTTGCCGGGCAGTTAGCGATGCCGAAGCCTTCAACGTCTATATGTTGGTTTTGGCCATGTGACGTTCATCTTGCTATCTGGCTGGCTAAATTAATTTATTGGCTTTCGCACATACGCCAAATAACTGCAGTTTGCATAATCAAACCAACACACAGACATAAACACTCAAACAAATTTCTCAACACACAAACGTACATATACGAGTATGTTGCCAGTTATAAAATATTTATTCAAATTGCAAACTTGCTTGGCAAACGGGCAACCCGAGTGCATAAGTCTGGCCGCTTCTGGTGGTCACAGTGCCTGCCATGCAAGTCAATTTGTTGTTTAGCTGGCAGACCAATTTGTGGCATAATGCGAGCAAACACCTGCATTTATTTATCATACGGTAGAGTCCTATGTTCGCGAACATTTTCTTTATCAGAAATTCAAAGCTTCTGCTGCAATACAGAAGTTGTATAAAAAAGCCAATTCTTCTTTATTTTCTTCATCGGATAATTAAAATTTTAAGACGTTCTTCTATTGTTTATTATAAAACACAGAATAAGTTAACATCTTCCGACAGATGAAACAACATCAAGATTTCCTTAGCTTTCATCTAAAAATGAATTAAAAAATAAAAGCGTTCAAACATTTGCAGAATCTATTGGTAAAATACAAAAAAATCTCTTGAGGTATAAACCCATACGGATTATAGAATAAATAAATAAAAATAAAATAAGAATTGCAAAATAAAATACTATTGGTTTCACTCGAGCTTTGGTAAACGTCATAGCTAAACGTCACAATATGTTCCGCTCCGTTCAGCTGTCAACCCTAGTGGCTTTCATAGAATTGGTCCTTGAAAGCCAGGTGGAAGGTTAAAGGTTGTGAGCCGCAGTTTCTGGTGAAGGCATCCAAGCCATGTCCAAGAAAATTGCTCAGACTGGCACATAAAACGTTGTTAAAAACTCTGGATCCAGCCATTAAGCCCCAACACATGAAATCATAGTTTAAGTAGCAACCCATGTTTTCAAGTTAAAATTGTCCACAGCTTCAAAATAAGAAACAAGAGAATTTTTCAAAAGTACAGCCAACACTTAATTTATACAAATTTAATTTATTAGGATCTTCAAAAAAGTCACAAGGGAATTTAAAAAAGCACAACCAACACTTAATTTAAACAAATTTAATTTAGTGCCCCTTAATAAATTAAATTTGTTTAAATGAAGCATGGGTTGTGCTTTTTTTAAATTCTCGTGTTTCTTATTTGGAAGTTGTAGAAAAAGTGCGCTACAACAAACCAAATTTGATAAACTTAATTGGTTTTAAATGTTTTTCTTATAAAAATAAATTGCATGTACAATTGAGCGAAAAATTTTTTTCTTTTTAAAAAGGCTCTGCGAAAAAGAAAGTAAAATAAACTTTTGCAGTTTTTTTATACACATATTGTTAGCCCCAACACATGCATTTTGTTACAGCTTTGCAATATTAAAAATTCAGTTAATGTCTTAAAATTAAGTTTTCCATTGCCTTATAGCTTGAAGGTCTCTTTTCATTTGTCTTGAAATTATATAATAACAGCCAAGGTTCATTGAGGTGAGTATCTACTGCCAAATAAATCATTTACACACACATATATGCATCTCGAAATAAATTCGCCTTTCTGCCCACTCAAGCGTAAATACATTGAAGGCGATGGCCGAAAATTTCAAACTAAATTTAATTACCCAGCACGGGCATGTGCTCACAGACACGCCCATGAACCCAGCCCCAAATGTTGCCTAATTGCTGGTTGGACTGCAAACTTATTGAACTGAGCATTTTGGGCACAGCCACGCCCCACTCATCGATTATACCCAGAGACACTACTATAAAAGGCAGCGACATTGAACAATGGCCAAAGTTTTCGTGCTCAACAATTCGTCTAAATATGTTGCCCCGCTTTCTTACCGCCGACTATCCCGTGGAACAGCACTACTTCCTGATACCGAAGTTTGCGCTGGGCCTCATTGGCTTCTATCCGGAAACGGAGCGCACTTTGCCGGTTCGCCTCTGGAGTTTCTTTAATTTTGCCATTCTGGCCTACGGTTGTTATGCCGAGGGCTACTATGGCATCCACTATATACCAATTGATATAGCCACAGCTTTGGATGCGCTCTGCCCGGTGGCATCGAGTATTCTGTCTCTTGTAAAGGTGTTTAGCATTTGGTGGTACCGCGATGAGCTGAAGTGGTTAATTGGGCGCATACGTGTGCTCAGCGAGCAACAGCAGTCGGATCGCAAGCTGGGCTATAAGAAGAGGCTCTATACGCTGGCAACACGCCTCAACATGCTCGTCCTGTTCTTCGGATTCTGCTGCAGCACCTCGTATTCAGTTAGACCGTTGATAGAGAATTCGATGAGGTTGCTTCATAGTCATGACTGGCTTTATCAGACGCCCTTCAAGATGATGTAAGAATTACAATTGATCAGAGCAATAGTTATAATTAAAGTGCAATTTTTATGGTCTATAGGATGCCTGATGCACTCTTTCGGTTGCCTCTCTATCCACTGACCTATCTATTTGTACACTGGCACGGGTACATCACAGTTGTTTGCTTTGTGGGCGCCGATGGCTTCTTCCTCGGCTTCTGCCTCTACCTCACGATGCTGTTGCACGCATTACGTGATGACGTTTCCGATTTGCTCCGAGTGCAGAGCATTGAGAAATACAACTCGACTGAGTCAGAGCAGCGCGTGATTCGGCAGCTGGAGCGACTCATCGATAGGCACAATGAGATAGCCGACTTGACCGACAAAGTCTCAGCCGTAATGGTGGAAATCACTCTCGGCCACTTTGTCACTTCGAGTCTAATTATTGGGACAAGTGTGATAGATATACTGCTGGTGTGTAAATCGATTAAGCTACGTCTTATTGTGTGCCACTCTCCCCCTTTTTCATTTTCATTTTTACACGCTCATTTACTATTGTTTGTGCTTTTACCTCTCCTTCATTATCGTTTTCCATTCTAATGCTATCTTTGTTCTAGGTTAGGATATGTTTTCTTATAACTAGGATCTGCTTCTTTCTTCTGGATGTTGTTTTCTGTTTATTTATCCTATTTCTTAGCCTTTCTTTTCTTCCATTTCACCTAATCTCTACTATGATTTACAATTGTTTAGGTATTTCTTATAGCTTATAGCTTCTTTCTTCTGGATGTTGTTTTCTCTTTATTTATCTGTTTTATTGATTTCTTAACCATTTCTTTTCTCCCATTTCACCTAATCTTTAATATCATTTAAGCCTCTATCCTCCTCCTCAGCTATGCTGCATTATTTCTAAACTTTTTCTTTCAGCCACTTTAAATATATTATAAAATATATCGGTATTCATTATCGCTTTAATTACTCACTTTTAATCTATTCCTCCCGTATAATTTATTTCACTATTTACTTTCCATTTTTTTTACATCCTTCGACTTCCTCCTACTTTGTTTATTTTTATATTCATCTAATTTTGTTTTTACATATTTTTGTTGTTTTCAGAATCTTTATTGTCGAGCGCTGTTTGAATCTTCCCTGTACTGTGAATTTCTTACATATTTAATGCATATTTGCTTCTTTCTCCTTCCATCACGTCCCAAATTTCTTTAATATTCAATTACATTTTGTAGTATATTATTTATTTAAGTTTTTTCTCATTAATGAATAATACTAATTTCTTTTCCCTTCAATGTCTCATTTTTATTTCTCTTCCTATTCCCCTATTTAACCTTCCCTTCTCCTTCTCCATATTTTAGTTTTCTGGCGTTGGTATTGTCGTTTACGTCGTTTACACCTGCGCGGTGGGTACGGAGATCTTTTTATACTGCCTAGGTGGCAGTTATTTGATGGAAGCGGTGAGTCCTTCTTCATTAGCTCTGTTTCTCATTCCAATTTCCTTCTCTCTCCTCCTCTCTCTCTCTCCCAGTGTTCGGACTTGGCGCGTACCACATTTGGGTCCCATTGGTATGCCCACAGCGTACGAGTTCAGAAAATGACTTTGTTGCTCATTGCGCGCTCCCAGCGCGTGCTCATTTTGAAGGTACCGTTCTTCTCGCCCTCGCTGGAGACCCTCACTTCGGTAGATACAGCATTTTCGCTCTCACTCTCTGCATCGCTCTGTAAAGTGATTATCCTTTCTCTTTGGCAGATCGTTCGCTTTACAGGCTCGTTGATTGCATTGGCCAAGTCCATACTGTAGACCGTCGACTGCAGACAGTCGCTTTCACTTATGACCTTATCCACTCATTCATAGCTCTTATATAATCTTGAACAAGGTGTTGTTGTAGTTGTTGCTGCTGCTGCTGCTGCTGTTGTTGAATTAAAAGCCTCGGCAAATTGGTTTCTTTTGCCGTCGTTGCTTACTTTTGGAACGTGCTGCAGTCGTTGTTGTTCATTTCCATGCACACCTTAATGACATCCGGCCCGGTGCCTGCGCGAGAGCTTCATATCCGTGCACAGCCGTTGCTCTCCCTGTTGGTCGTTCTTGTAGTTGTAGTTGTTGTTGCTGTTGCTGTTGATGTTGTTGTTATTATTGCTGGCTGGTGCTTTGCAGTCTCAAAGACAACCAACCAACAATCCACGTTCAACGAGTTTTTGTTTCTTGCCCCATTGTTCATGCACAAATTCCTTTCGTTCTGTTTTTTTTCTTCTCCTTTTTGCCTTAATGTTGTAGTCCTTGAAATCCTTTTGCTTTGCCACGCAAACACACCAACGCACGCACACACTTACTTACACACATATATACCAGTACATATAATATGTATGTATATTATATAGAGCCTATATCTCTTGCAGTTGCTGTGTCTGTCTGGCTGGTTGGCTGTTTGTCTTTGTTTCTTTTGCTGTTTCTGTTTGTTTATTTGTTTATTTTCGCTGGCGCCTCCCTTTGTCAAAAGTGCTTTTGCTTGTAATGTGTTCGACATCAGACGTCAGAGTCCTAGACCCCTATAGCTCACCCCTTTACTCATTCGCTCGGGCGTCCACTTGCAGCCCTTTAGTGTTCGACCGAATTTTCTGTTCTGGGCCTGTCTGTTCATTTGCTTCTTTCATTTACTTTTTTCTCGTGCTTGCTGTTTTTGTTTCGTTTCATTCAGACTGAGGCCCACAGTGCTTGTCGACTTATGTTTTTTGTTTGTAGTTGTAGTTGTTGCTATTGCTGTTGTGGCATTCGTTTTCACATTTTTATGTGCATTTATTTTGCCATTTTGTGTACGATATGTGAGTGTGTTTGTGCTCTGAACTCACATACTCCCACATACTACTATACACGCAATTTTTGCACTCAAGTTTACCTACTTTTTATGGTAAACACCCAAGGTTGCTTGTTTATTCTAGCAAAAATGTATTTAGGTGCGCTTAACTACATGAACGTGAGTGTATGTGCCTATGTATGTATGTATACGAGTATACCTCTTAAGTGTTTGTTTCCATGTGTGTATTCATACGACATTACAAGAAATGCATAAATAAGTTAGGTAAATACTTTTTGGACCATCTGTTCGGCCGAAAGAAGTAGAAGCAGAATGCCACCACATACTCGAAATTTGAAAGTTGAAAGCTCAAGAGCTGCCTAAAATGCGTGAACATTTATTTCATTGACGCCTCTCAATAAAAATTAAGCTAAATGTATTAAATACGCCAGCCAGCCACCCAACTGAAGCCAAGCCATCCAACAAGGAGGAGCACATAAATAAAATGAATAAAAATGGTGTCAACCGAAGCGCACAAAAAGTGGCACACAAACACACACACACACACGTACACCTAAATACATATTTGCACATCAACTCACACACATGCGCGCACATAATTAAATGCCACATAAAATAAGAAAAACAAGTAAATGAAAAAGAAAAAAATAATAAAAAACGTGAGCGCATCGCCCGCCTGAAGAGAGTCATGCCAACGTTACGGAAGTAATAATATTAAATGGCACTTTTACCTATGCGACTAATTAAATTTGTACATTTAATGTGCAATGTGGGCACATTAAACAGGACAAACAAATGAGCGCAGCTGTAAAGCGAGCAACGACCTACACAGACGGCAGCATCAGTATTGTGGCATCAGCATCGGTATCAGCATCAGCCGGCAAAAACGACCACATGAGCAAAATTTTAAGCAATGCCGATTCAAGTTTAAGGCTTTTTTTTTTGTTTTTGTTTTTTTTTTTTTGTTTGGGTGCCACGTGCCTTTGCAACTAACGCGACCTCGCCGCATGGCATGCCATTAAAATTCCAGAGAGGCATTGCAAAATAAATCCACTTGCAAGTAAAAACTCGTCAGAGTCAAATGCCAAACGCATGTGATTTCTAGGGTTCGGTCCAATGCTGTCACACCTATTCGGCCAAAAGCAAAGAAAAACCAAAAAATCTAGACAGAAACTTAACCGCAAAGCGTCGAATAACACACACTCTAAGTAACTTCTTTAGGAGTAATCCATCAATTTATAGCTAAAAATATGAAAACAATTTAGTGTTCCGCAAAAGGTTTGTTTGATAATAAATAATATGTTTATTAATACCATTTACTATATAAATTATAAATATATGCCCATTTGAATGCTATGAATTAATTCGTTCATATTATCGTATTATTAATCATTTTACATTATAACTTTGCCAAATGCCTGAGAGACTATAGACTTGATTCCATTTCAAAAATATAATGGAGATGTAAGCTTTCGGAAATGGCAGCATAACTATTTCCTTATTGGTGTATATTAGACAGAGTATTGAAATGGTTAATAGCAAGTTTTCACACTACCATAAATTTCAGGGCACAGCGCTTTATCGTGCAAGAAGCAGCAACATTCTTCTTAATGATGTTTGCCCCGAAAAAACACCAACATCAAAAACAGCTTTAGGCTTTTGGTAAGGAGGAAGACATTTTTAATTTTTTGGCAATAAGTAGCCCAGCAACTTGTTTAGCCACCAGAAAAGAATATTTTTAAAAGGTTCTGTTTACATAGAATAGTTTCTTAACTAACCGAACCTCTACAATCCAAAAAACGTATTTGAAAAGTTGAGAAATGTTATAATGGTTATATTTTTTAGTAATCTAGCTTTTAAAATAAACAGTCTATATTTAATTCTCTGCCTGAAAAGTTAATGATTCGAGCAACCATTATAATCATAAATTGCCACTGCTTGCTGTTAAGTGAAGTATCCATCTTAAATTGGGAAATTATTGTATATATTTATAATGAAAATGTTCGATTTAATTAGAATTCTATTCCAATTCTGACAGGATTCAACAGTTACTCAGCTTTTGCACTTTGCTCAGCATATTTTTTGCGTGACATCGAATCTCAGACAAGATGGAATCGACAAATTTTTATACCCTGTACCCAAAAGGGTACAAGGGTATATTAGTTTTGTGCGAGTGCACATGGAACACACAGAAGGAGGCTTGGTAGACCCCACAAAGTATATATATTCTTGATCAGCATGACAAGCCGAGTCGATATAGCCATGTCCGTCTGTCCGTCTGTCCGTCTGTCTGTCCGTCTGTCTGTCCGTCTGTCCGTCTGTCCGTCTGTCCGTCTGTCTGTCTGTATGAACGCAAGGATCTCCGAAAGTATAAGAGCTAGAATAACCAAACTTGGTATACAGATTCTCCTGAGACCGAGAAAGGACGAGTTTGTTCATTTTTTCTGATCCACCCCCCCACTCCCCCCCTATTAACGATTTTCTATAACTTCCGTAATTCTTGGAATTTTGAACTAAAATTTGGTAGTCACATTAGGTTAGTTATTATATAACCGTATACCAAGTCTCATTATGATAGAATGATCGGAAAGAAAGTTATAGCCATATAACCAGGCCCAATGCACACATACATACATATGTACAAGTACACAAACACGCATAAGGCACGATTCTGATGTAAATGTAAATGTATGTATGCATGCATGGAATATTTTATATTTAATTTAGTTAATTAATTAAATTAATTTAGTTAATTAATTAAATTGAATTAATTAATTAATTTAATTACTTTTTTGTGGGGTGGTACAGGGTATTTAAGAGTTGAGCCTGCTCGACTTTAGCATTCCTTTCTTGTTTTTATTGTTTTATTTTTTATGTTCTCTATTTTGAATGAATTGTCTACACTAGGTACAGGGTATTTCAGAATCGGGGCAACCGATTTCAGTTTTTCTACTTGTTTTCTGACTGATTTTGGAAATTTTGAATATGTACGTGCAAATGTCTTTCATGAGCAAAACATCCATCAATATTAATAGAAAACAGGTACTCAACTGGTTGATCAACTTCGGCGATGCGTCACAAACGCCTGACAAAAGCATGTATAGCCTTTGTGTGGGGTATTTGAAAAGCACGGCCTTGTGCTATGCGCCATGGTGGTAAACAAATATGTTTTGGAATGTTTTGCTCTGCAGCCGAAAAGCTAGCATTGGAATTCAACACGCAGCCCAGCATGTTGGGGTGATGGTGAATGCTGGACGGCTGTTGTTGTTTAGATGGCAGGGGTGGGGTAGGGGAGGGGTTGATGGCTGCATTCAAAAGTGTTGCCACATAGAGCGAGGGAAATTAGCGCGCGCTCTGTTTAAAGTGGCATACGTAGGTTTTTATGACGCATACGCCTAGTTGCACGCCTGCAAATTTGTTGTTGGCCTGTTTGCAATTAGAGACAACAGCGAGAGCAATGGCAATAAGAACAACAACAACGGGAGCATTGCGGCACATAATCTGCATACAAATGCGTTGATTTGCCTAAACGACGCTTATTTGTGTTGCATGAAAGCGAGAGAAAGGAGCGCGACGAAAGGCAGATCACACAAATAAAAGACGAGGAAGAAGAGCTGGAAAAACTTTGCGCCATGCTTAAAATTACAAACAGCACGGCCAAAATGAGGGCTGTGGGTTGGGAAATTTGGGGGAGCGGCAAACAGAAATAAAACTGCGTTTAATTTTTGCGAGCGTGTTACACGCGTTAAAATTAAAAGCAGCGCAGTCGACGACCGAACTGACAGCATCCTTCGCTTCTACGCTTGTTCTTGTCGGCACTTCCGGCAAGCAGCAAAGGCGTTGGCGTACGTGCCTCTGTGCCTACTGTGGAGCTGGTGGTAGCGAGACAGCTAGTAGGCACGACTATGTCTTGGATTTGCATGCAAATGTCTTTCATGGCGCGCCAACTTAGTTCAACACTGAACACTGAACGCTTGTCTTCATCATA